TCAGGAAGACTAATGACTGAGTAACGTATATGATGGTGAAAGGTATGCTGAAGTACTAAATTGAGGCGAAGCAGGGGTCATCTCCTGCGGAGTGTTCTTGAGTGGTATGGTCCTTACGTGTATGTTAGAAGATCTCATGTGTAATTGAAGGGTATGTGTTGAAATTTAAAAATTCGGGTCGCTTAAGAGAGTGGACTCAGCTGATGTGGGGATAAATGCGAGGGTTGTAGAGGATTTCAGTACTAGATGACCTATGTTTTCACAAACTTGTAGATGATTTGAGTTTAATCTCACTATGATATTGTGGCATCATTGGAGTAAAAGTGTTATGAGTTGTTAAGTGTGTCTTGATATATGGCTTCGAGCCAAGTTGGGGAGGTTGCTGTTGATTAGCTGATTGCACGGTTATGTGCTATGTTGGTTACGTCTCGAGGTATGCTGGCGAATCGGTTCTAGTTGCAGAAATTGAGCCGAGGATGGGCGAGTGAAGCAAAATTTCGACAAAGGTTATATTATGTTTCATAGGGTATGAGAATTTCGGAATGTCTAGAGTTGTTGTTGGTAAAGAATGCTCGGTGCATAGAGCAGGAAGTTGCTTGGTTGTATTGGGATGAGGGTCTCATTTTACGGTATCGGAGTGTCAATAAAGCACGAGTGGTTCTGTTCGTTAAATCGGGTAATTTGCAGATGAATAAGAGAGAATGACTCTCGAGAATAGTTTTAATGTGTTCAAGAATCTACATGTAGCACTCAGGTGTTTTAAGGTGGTGTATGTGACTAAAGACAGTGTTTTCAATAGAAAATGTCAAGACTTGTGGTATTTTTATGTTGATCATGGGATCCTATGTGTCGATACCTGGAAAGTAAAAGAAGCGAATTTAGATTCGCAGAAAGTTCTCAGAGTGAAGTATTCTGGAATGTGGTATTTCTGAGAAACAATTGAGAGAGTATTCAGTGGCCTATGGGTCTTAGACAGTGTGGTCTTATGTTCGAGTTTCTTGTGGTAAGCATGGATTGAGGCATTGTGATGCTACATCGAAGGAGAAATATCAAGTGGATGATGAATCAAAAAGGGAAATTAGATAGATGGAATAGCTTGATAGTAGACCGAATCGGTATGGTAAGGATGTGATTAATTCTTCGTATGTGTTCGAGGTAATGGGCTTTTACAGGTATTGTGCAGCAAGGCTCTTGAGTTCTGACAGCTTGCTTAGCTTGGTTCGGGTAGAAGGATTCAGTCCTGGCAGTTTAGCTTGTGCAATGGAATTGGGGGAGAGTTCTTGATAAGTTTTACCGTGGTTTAGAGACGTATAAATTGCCTATGGGCATGCGAAGCATGGAATGTGTAATGATTTCTCTTCTTGATGGGATTGATGGAGAGTTCTTGACTAGTGGAGTACGTAGATGTTTGTGGTTAGGAAAAAAGGGAGATGGAGTTCTCATGTTATCCTAGTGTGTTATGGTATACGCGGTATGTTGTAGAGAATTGAGATTTGCGTGTTCGAGGTTTCGGTTCAGTTCACAATGGGAAGTCATTAAATTCGTAAGAAGCACGGGCAGCTGTAGGTGAGTAAAGAATCGATCTTCAAATGATTAGGGAAAATGGTATTGCCAACCATAGTGATTCGACGGGGGTATATGTTCCAGTAAAAGGGCAATGTGATGTAAACTGATAATACTTCGGTAGTGTTGCGGCATTTGGGATCGACTGTTGATATATGCGTTTGTTTGATGGCACAGGGAAACTTTAGAATACATTTCGTGGGATGATTGGGTACTTGAGGTGTGATATGTATTCGTACGGCACAATTTGGGATCAGGTATAGTGATTTGTGTGTTATATGGAGTTGGAGACTAGGAGTTCTCGTGTTCAGGCTATGCAGTTGTTGTAAATCGTGTGTATCGGCACCGTCTAGCGGTTATTGGGAATTAGAGGTCCGAGTGGATCTTTCTTTGCTTGGGATGCAAAATTTTGGATNTCTGGAACATGGAGGACTTGGTATAGAGTCACTATTTTTCCCGATGTCATCTTCAATGCAATCTTGCCAACTCCTTCAATTTTGGCCGTAGATGAATTTCCCATGAAGATTGTCTCGTCGGGACCTGCGGGGGCATGCGAAGAAAATAACTCCTTGTTAGCACAAACATGGCGGGTGGCTCCAGAATCTATCCACCATTCTTTCGGATTTCCTACCAAGTTGCATTCAGACAACATGACACACAAGTCTTCCATTTCATCTTCAACCATGTTGGCTTGATTCTTTTTCTTCTTATCATTCTTTGGCGCACGACAATCCACTGCCTTATGCCCAGATTTTCCACAGTTGTGGCAATTACCCTTGAACTTCTTCTTACTTAGGTAACTCTTTGGTCCAGAAGCTTTCTTCCTCTTCTTATTTTGTGGTGCCTCCTCAACAATGTTTGCCCCCATTATTGTCGAGTGTCCACGTGACTTCTTTTAGGCATTTTTGTTGTCCTCTTCTATCCTCGAAGGAACAATCAAGTCTTCTAGTGTCATTTCCTTCCGTTTGTGTTTAAGATAGTTCTTAAAATCTTTCCACAGCGGAGGTAACTTCTCAATGAAAGCAGCGACTTGAAAGGCCTCATTTATGACCATACCTTCAATAACAAATTCATTATTAATAATAAGATAAATCTTAATAATAAAATTATTGATTTGGGTCATACCTTCAGCAAGGAGGTCATGTATAATGACTTGTAGTTCTTGGACTTGAGTTATGACCGACCTAGTGTCAATCATCTTGAAATCCAAGAACCTTGCAGCCACGAACTTCTTATGTCCGGCATCCTCAATCTTGTACTTCTTCTCAAGCGCATTCCATAACACTTTTGAAGTTTCCATGACACTATAGACATTGTACAAGCCATCTTCCAAACAACTCAAAATGTAATTTTTGCACAGGAAATCAGAATGTTTCCATGCTTCAGTTACAACAAGTCGTTCATCATCCGGAGTATTTTCAGCCATGACCGGAGGATGCTCCTTGATGAAACGTTGCAAACTCAACGTAGTAAGATAGAAGAGCATCTTCATTTGCCAGCGTTTGAAGTCAATACCGGAAAACTTTCCGGGTTTTTCTGCCGGTGCCATAGAAGGAGTAGAACGGCTTGACGAGGCAGCAGCACTCGTAACAGTAGCACCCGTTCCCGCAACACTTCCATTAGTTTGGTTTTCATTCGTCATATTTCTGTAAAGTTGAAAACAATACAGAACTTTGTTAAATCAGTGAAGTTTTGATATCTTCAAACTGAATATCAAACCAAACATACAACACGTAACAATGGTGAAGTTTTTATATACTTCAAACCCGTACGTTTATTATTCCGGCAAAGTTTTTATGTACTTTAAACCGGGTAGAAAGAATTATTGGAGTAGAAAGCAACAAGGCTTTAGTCTCCAAACAAAGTATATAGAAAACAGTTTAATACATATAATCAACACAGAAACGATAATAATGTAAAGTTCCTTAAGCTTGTGAGCGTTACTGTGTTAAACCAAAAATCGGGAAAAACTGTTAGAAAAATAAAAGAAACTGGAAAAACAGAAGAGTTTAAGAAATATTCCGAGTCCACAATTTTCTTGTGTGTTCTTAAGGAATTTTAACCCCCTCACACGTTGCCAAGGTAATGGATTAAATCCTCCCAGGATAAAACGGAATAAACCTTCCTGCAACAGTGGCAATACAAACTGCAGGATACCAACGAACTCAAAGAACGGAGCAAAATCACACTTACGAATTTGAGAGAGAGAGATTGCGAATTAGGATGCAGTATATTCAGAAAGAAAGAAGTTCTGGAGTGTTTTTCGTGTGTAGAAAATGGAGCCTTGCCTCAGAATTTATAGGCAATTATCAGAAGAGGTGTCTGGAAAAGGTGCCTTTTCAGAAGAATACGCTGTCTGCCACGGTTCTACCGCGGTCAGAGAGGCTTTCTGACTGACTGCCGCAGTTCTACCGCAGTCGCGGCAGAACCGCGGCCAGAGAGGCCCTCTGAACCTTCAGCAGGTTTCTGGCGTATTTTCAGCAGTGATTTGGCATTTAATTAATTATTAAATAATTAAATAAATTTTGTCCAAAAATAATCTCATCGATTGACAAATCAAAATCCAAAGCCAAAGCCAAAGCCAAAGCCGAGCCGAGCGACGACAACGGCGCGAGGGTTCATTCTCTTCAACTCCTTTTAAGAGCTTTAAGAAGTGATTCTATATATAAGCACACAAATGTGGTTGTCCCTCACCAATGAGGGACAAAGTGCAAGACAAAAGTTTACTTCTTCAAATTTTCAATTTCCCTCCATTTCCAATTCACACTTCTTCTAGGTTAAAGCCCAATGGCTTAAAGTCCAACAGTTAGCACTATATTTCCTTTTCCCTAAAACAAAAAGGGGGTCTTGATCATCCCAAGCAATAAGAAACAATTCCTAGTTACCCCTATGAATACAAGACAAGGAGTAAGGAGATTGTCAAGTTTATTCTTATAAAGGAAACACTAAATGGATCGAAACCTTCAAATATTTGAACAACCAAGTGGCCGTCATTAGACTTACACCTACCATTGAGATTTAATGGAGCATCTTATACTAGAGCGAATCCGCTCCCACATGGCCAGATGAGATAATGATTTTATGTCACGTTAACTATGGAAGTGTTACAAGACTACAATTTTGGCAGCAACATAACTTTTGAGCTCTTTCTAATACTAGTTAAGCTAAATTTTCAATAAAATCCAAATATACTTGTAAAATTATTCACATTTTAAGCACTTCATCACATATTATTCACAAGATAATTACTGCTTGTATACAAAGCATGACAATATCACAAGCTTTCCACTTTCCTCATACCATATTAACCATGCCATGTAAGGACAATTGTGGCCTGTGGTCTATTTAAAAAGCACATAATCCATTTTCTGAGTATTCAAACTTAAGGAGTCTAAACTTTCAATGACATGCCTTTTGTATATAATTTCTAAACTAGGATGCTGAGGAGGAAATTGCTTTTGGTTTCTTTATCTTCTTTTGTTATACTTCTTTTTATCTTCTTTATATCAATTAATATTCGCTTAAACTTTTCGTTAACAACTTCGTTAAACAACACCATTTTATTGCAGAGATCGACCCAAATAAACGCACAATTCACCCTCTTAATAGGGATCTTTATACAACCAAAAAATTTCGATAGACGTCATTTCCTTCGTCTTGTATATGGAATTCAATCCACACCTATAGCTCGTGTCGACGTGAAGTTCATTTTCTGTAACATTACAAATGCAGAACACCGGACATTCATTGCCTTAGAAATCATGCGTTTTAATGACATTATCGTCCTCAACTGCTCTGAAAACATGAATAGTGGCAAAACTTACACTTACTTTTCTACCCTCCCTCGAATCCTTCCTACACGTTACGACTACGTCATGAAGGCGGATGATGATGTGTATTTGAGGCTAGCACAATTAGCAATATCTCTCCAACCATTACCTAGAGTTGATTTATATTATGGTTTTGTTATACCTTGTCCTAGCATGAACGCGTTCGTGCATTACATGTCTGGAATGGGGTTTATTTTATCATGGGATCTGGTGGAATGGATTGGAAGATCGAACATTCCTGCGAATAATACTTATGGTCCTGAAGATAAGTTGGTTGGTCAATGGCTAAATTTGGGAAATAAAGCAAAAAATAGGTTTTCTAACAAACCAAGAATGTATGATTATCCAGGAACTAATGGAAGATGTTCACATGAGCTAATCCCAAATACAATAGCTGTTCATAGGCTAAAGAAGTGGGAGCAATGGATAGATGTTCTAAGATTTTTCAATGTAACTAAACAACTTCAACCTTCTGATCTTTATACTGTATCATTTGATTAATGAATTTGAAATTTTTGCCTATGTTGTTAGTTATAACTAAGATTGACTACATTGCAAGATAAGTCTTTTATCTTCTATTTTTCACTATAGAAAATAAGCTTTTCAGTCACAACGTTCTGTGGCTACCTTTTTAGTCGTGACCAAAAATAAGTACCAAGCCGTCACAATAAGTAATGGTTGAGCGGTGGAATATGTCGCCATTTTAAGTAGCGACCTACCTTAAATTCATTTGTGATGCATTTATTAACTTTTTGTGGCAATTTTAGTCGCGCAAAAGCTATAATTAAACAAATTATCTTTGTGGTGACTTAGCTCGCCACAAGAAGTTAATAAAATTATCTTTAACTCCATAATCTTGAATATATCAGTATCTTTTGTTGTATAATTTGTATCTGAATCTCAAGATCACTTTTTTTATTTTGTGGGGTTCATTTCTTTTAGAATTTGAAGAACTTGCAATTTACAATGGGTCTGATCCAAGCTTGCCCATTTTTCTTGGGTACATGTTAAATCACTCCTGTGTCATTTAAAGATTGCATTTTTGAGTGATTTTGTTGTTCCTTATAATTTTAGGTCAGTATTTGATGTGAGCAAAGGAAAGAGTCATTATGGTGTACGAGGTGGCTACAACATTTTTTTCCATTTTTTTGGATATGGTGATCTATGATCAGTTCCAAGGGTGTTCAAACTTGAAAGAAAAAAAAAAAAACTCCCCGACAAAGGGTGTTCAATATATGTTATGTACCTATAAAACCTAGAATTTTACCTATATACAGTGTAATTTTTCAAGAAAAGATGGCCAATTGACCACCCTCAAGTAAATGTAGCTTCGCCCCTGTCTATGATGTAGTTCACTGAGGTTATTATGAGTTTGTCTACTGCACTGCACATTATGACTGCATATAGTTCGAACTAAGAGTTCATGACGGGAGTGATTTTATTTTGTGCCTCACACAACTTACACTAGTTGTGTGAGACCTCTTTTTATCTCATATATTTGTGGACCCATATCTTACACATCTTGGTTCACAAAATTCTGGGACCACACAGTTGTGAGACAAAAAAGAGGCCTCACACAATTAGTGTCAGTTGTGTGAGGCACAAAATAAAATTTTAGAAGCTTGGCCAAAGCTCAGTCAAGCACGAACTCTGTATAATTTAAAGAATGTGTTTGATCTTGTGTATTTCTGGTAAATGTTTCAATTTCCTACAACGATTGATATTAGGAAAAGAAACTGAGAACTATGAATTATGATGTTTGAAGCCATTTAAGCAATAACTGTTGCCTTTTAAGAATCCCAGTTGTGATTTCCACTCTGGACAGAAATAATGACCTGCTACAAACTTGACCTGCTAAAGAGAATTCCCTTTTCTTGCTTCTACATAGTTTGAAACCTGTAAATTCTAACAAGATCGATGCCTAAATGTAGTACTTGTGATATTTCGACTTCTTGCTTGCCTCTCTATTTCCATGATGTAAATGAAATATGATTCTTATATTTTGGTTCTGGGTTGATTATCTTTGCCTTCTAAAATTAAGTTTCTTTTATTCTATGTTAATAGAGGCTATGTTGCGCGGACTTTCCAAAATACTGCCGTACCCGTTCTTCAAAAATACACTGCTTTTGGAGAATCCGACACGCACCCAATGTTATTTTCAGAGAGTCCGAGCAACATAGAATACAGGAGATGGACTTACTGACTCACTGCACGGTTTGTCCAGTGCCGAGGTAGTATGATGTTCTGTTTTCATTCAATGATCTGATTTATTATTTAGTTTCCACGATATTTATGCAAAACATCAAGGAATAGCTTCATCTAATGGAGAATTAGACTTTACTCTTCATTAATAAAATGGACAACAAAATTTTGTATCTGTTTTTTCTTTTTTATCTGAGATATGGAAAACTGGAACAGCGTGCATTATTCTAATAGTTCCAGCAGTTCCTTACCCTAACATCAGCTCCAGCTGTTTTAGAAGAATATTAGGGAGAAATGAGACATCAATTAGTACAGGGAAGCAAGGCCCATGCTTTCAACTTTATGGGTTCTGGAATTTAGAACGACGACTTCGAGTGTTAATAACTGTTAGAAATATAACAGAATATAGGGACGAAATAATTAGGCTTTGATAGTGTAGTCACTGTTAAGGAATTTAAGCCTCCCAATTTCGTTGCTGCAGGGATTATGGCAGAATTCCTCCAGGATTTTACAAAGCCTCTGAAATTCGAGCACCAGCAATTAACTCGAATTTCCACTTGAACAAATTTGGTGAATTGAAGATAGCAGAAAAGAAGAAGATACTTTGTTGTTTTTCTGATGATTTTTGTTTTGGAGAAGAAAAGGGTATTTATAAACCCTTTAGGTGTCTGTTAGGACTAACAGACTCAACCTTTGCCAATAGGCACCTTTTAATACCAAAAGTCATCTCTTTTCAAATACTCCCATCAAAACACTAACTAATATAATAATCCCCCGCTTAGTTAGTGATTGATGTTGTTTATAAGATTCATGCGTATAGTAGGTATCTTTCGATTTAAACCTACTACTTGTATAAACTATTCAAGACCATGTCGAAATTGATGGTTAGATTAATTTCTATTAAACCACAATTCCTATTTGACAAGACGGAAAAGCTTTATACACATAAATCGTACCAACTTCACAATTTGTTCACCGTGAGTTTTAGCACCCAATTATGGCCTTGTGCTACTTCCTGAATTCATAAACACTTATCAAGTTTTGTATCCCAAACTTTGATCGAAGCGGCACCACCTCTTGTGTTTACATAGGTGAAGATCTAACCAAATCCTTAACACGGACTTCTTTAGTTCCTAAACCGAACTCTGCTTCTTCACTAAGAGTAATTTTTATACTCATCCTCCTTTTCTAGGTACTAATTTCCAGTACCTACTATCCGTCACAACTATAACTTATTATTACCTTTTAAACCTTTAATATTGTTGAACAATAAGAAAGGTAAGGTTCCCGTTACTAGTGACAAATTTAAATTACCTTAGATCCATAGCACTTGTTGTGCTTATTATCATATCCCTCGCGAGTCCTTTAGTGAATGGGTCAGCAAGGTTGTCTTTAGACTTGATGTACACAACAGTAATAATTCCATCCGAAATTAATTGTCTTATGTACTCATGTCTTAAAGCAATATGTCTAGATTTTTCATTGTATATTTTGCTAAATGCCTTAGACATAGTTGCTTCACTATCACAGTGCAAGAGAACAACTGGCATTGGTTGTGGCCACAACTTTATATCTAACAATAGATTTCTCAGTCATTCTGCTTCTCTTCCTGCAGCTGCTAAAGCAATAAACTCAGATTCCATTGTGGAATGAGTAATACGCGTCTGTTTCTTAGAAGCCCACGAAATTGCTCCTCCACCTAAAGTGAATATCCACCCAGACGTTGACTTGTTATCACCAACACTAGTTATCCAACTAGCATCACAATATCCTTCTAACACTGAAGGAAATCTGTTATAATACAAGGCAAAAGTTTTTGTCTTTTTTAGATAACCAAGTACCCTCACTATACCTTTCCAGTGATCACCACTTGGATTGTGAGTATACCTTGACAATTTACAAACCGCAAAGGCAATATCTGGCCTAGTACAATGCATAACATACATTAAACTACCAATTGCACTAGCATAGTCTAATTGACTACAGATCTTCCGGGGTTCTCAACCATCTTGCTAGAAGCATCAAACGGAGTATTAAATTCTTTAATACCCAAATGATTAAATTTGGAAAGAACCTTGTCAATATAATGAGACTGACATAAGGCAAAACCCCTACTATGTCTTTTAACTTTAACACCTAAGATAGCATCAACTTCTCCCAAATCTTTCATTTTAAATTGAGAAGTTAAATACTTCTTAGTTTCATTTATGCCTTGCATGTTAGTTCCTATGATTAGCATGTCATCAACATAAAGACATACTATCACTCCATAGTCCTTTGTGAATTTGGAATAAATGCATTTATCTGCTCCGTTATGTTTAAAAACCATTTGATAA